CTCTCTCTCTCTCTCTCTCTCTCTCTCTCTCTCTCTCTCTCTCTCTCTCTCTCTCTCTCCCCCGACCGACCGACCGAGAAATCGCCCCTGGCAATTGATGAAGTAAGAGAGCATCCAACAGCCAGTTCGCTGGGGCAATCAATGGGTCGCAGCAAACCAATCAAAGCTACTGAGAGAGAACGACGAGCGCGCGCATGTGCGCTCGATAGGAAGCTCTCAAATAATTCGATGCCAAGCTGACGTGTGCACAGGCGTGCACAAGCCAAGCCACCTCCTCTCCTCTCCTCTCCTCTCCTCTCTTCCCCCCTACCTCCACCTCGTCCGCCGATGCCCGCCCACTCTTCTCCCTCCGCTCCTTCCCCTTCGAAACCCACCAATTCTTACCCCTCCTCCCTCCTCCCTCCTCCCGCCGCTTCTCCACTCCACACTCCACTACTTCCCGCCAATTCTTACCCCCCTCTTCCTCCCTCCTCCCTCCTCGCCCTTCTCCTCCACCGCGTCCGCTACTTCCCGCCAACGCCAACATCCAACGCGATAACAGCTCTCGCGGAACCGACGAGTCAATTCGCTCGCTGTAATCGAAATGAGCTCAAAAAATGAAATGAAAATGGATATGCTTTGCTTTTCCCTCCTCCGACCATAAAGGTCATATGGTTCGTCGACGCGCCCGCGAAAAAGCGCTCCTTTTCTTCTCCTCCTCCTCCTCCTTCTCTCTTCCCCTCCTTTTCCTCTTCCTCTCTTCTCCTCCTTCCCCTTCTCCTAACTTCTCCTACGCCCGACTCATCCGCGTCCTACCCTGCCTCTCGCTTGTCAGTCTATCCGCCGGTTTCCCGCCAGCGTCCCCTTCTACAGTCCAAACGCTGAAAGCGGACAGGCCCTCCGCTCGTTTCCGCTGTCCACCTCCCCTCCCCTCCGCTCCGCTCCCAGTGCTGTCCCTCCTCGTCCCTATCGGGCCTGCCGCCGGCCGAAACGAAGGACCTGGGGCCGCGCTTGCGTCTCCCATTCCCCGCCCCCTTCCGCCGCTGCCCGCCCGCTTTCAGCCCCACCGTGAAGGAAAACGCCCGCGCGCCCCCGGTCGTCCGCAATTCCCCGCGCGCACCCCCGAACGTCCGCCTACCGTAGCCCCCCTGCGTGCCTCCGCTCTGGCTCGCTCTTTCGCTCATCTTCCGCCCCCMCCCCCGCGGCTTTTCGTCCGCGGCCTAAACAAAGCCGCCCGCCCCGACCACCTTCGCCCCGCAGACGGGGAGTGGAAACTCCCACTACCGGTAGCGGGGATTACTCCACTCCTCTCCGCTCCGCCCGCCCGCCGCCAGTCGATCTTCATGATCGACGGCCAGAAATTGAGAATCCCCCCGCCAGTAAGCGGGACCTACCCGCTACCCCGTAGCCCCCCCCTCTGGGCATATACTCACACAGCCTACTCATAGGACTTCCCCGGGGCTAGGTCCCACTTGCACGAATTATTATATTAAGCGATATTGACCGTAGATAGGACAGCAAAGATCAACGGCCAGAATCTCTTAATCTGTGCAAGTGGGACCTTGCCCCCGGTCCCCGGACGTGTCTGACCCCAATTACGGCCCCTCCTGAATGTATCTGACCGCAATCACGTCCCCAATTCTGTCGAAAACGCCGTCGTTCTGAGTATAGGCCCTCAGCTTCTTTATTGTGAAATGGATTTGGATACAGGCCGCAGGGAGACTACCCTTTTCCCCGCTCCGCCGCCGCCTCCTAGTTGACGTCGGCCTCCCCCTACACGCTTCTTTGGGCGCG